CACACACACACACACACACACACACACTCACACACTCACACACACACTCACACACACACACACACTCACACACACACACACACACACACACACACAGCACTCACACACACACTCACACACACACACACACACACACACACTCACAGCACTCAGGGAGCTCCGCTGATATTGTCTGGGAGCGTTTAACTCGCTCAGATCAGAGCGGGTTGTTTTGTGACATCCATCACGTCCATCAGCACAACGAAACACACACAGACTCCTCATTTTCCACTCAGGTGTAATTTCTGCTGATCTGATGGAAGCAGAGAGCCGACTGTTGATCCCACACTGGACCTTTCTGCTCTAGAGTTTGACGTTTGCAGAGGATTAAATGTATAAATCAAGGAATCAGAGGAAAATGATGGAGATTTATTTTCTAAATAATACACGCTGAAATGACGCACAAGTATTGAGACATGTAACTAAATACATTTTCTGCTTTGCACACAATTTGCGTTTCTACACGTCACTTTTTAAACACATTTCTCTCGATGAGACACGCAGGAATCTGACATGAAGTCACTCTTTCGTCATTTTAAAATCACTGCCATTCAAACATAATTTGCCACCTGACCAGCACATCTGACTGCTTCACTGTTGACTCATCAATCAGGATGTAAACACTAAAAAAGAAGGAGAAACGCTGTAATTCTTGCTTCTTTTTCTGTTTATTCTATTTAGAATTTGTCCTCTTCTGGTTTCATGTGAAAAAATCAACCTGTAGAAATGCATTGATGTACTGAACTGTATTACAGTGATGAGAGGAACAGTATGCATGCGTTATGTAGTAAACACACAACACGGTGTTCACATAAACAAACAAACAAATGCATATATAACTAGATCAAAGACTTGATATTAAATTGAATGTCTTCAGTTAAATGATTGTGAGTCTGACTCTCGTGTGACTTCAGACGGATGCTGATTAACTGACAGCGTCTCCGTATAAATATCAGAGTATTTACTCTTAATGAGAGACGCTGATCCTCTCTGCAGCCTTCATTAGTGCTCCACGTCTCAGCACATCACGTCACCTTCACTGGTTCTCTTTGTGTGTTATGAGAATCATCTATTAAAACCAACCTTCATCATTTAATTCAGTTTAATGTTTAACGAGCAGTTACACAAAATATAATGACTTATATACACACACAGTACATCTGATCACTGTGATCACATGCGTCTGTGTGACCTTCATGACCAGACTGTAGTCCTCTCTGCTCTAAACAATACAAAAACAGATCAAGTACAGTGACAGCTGGAGCACAACTTGATATCTTGTCAAAAATATGATTTCTATTCATATATTTATCAAAACATATATTGTGTTTTACGCACGGTGGTAAAACTTAAATATTAAAGTGAGGAACTTTATGATAATATGCAGGATAAACATCTTTGGAGTCCAACACATTTACAAAAACATAAAAACGTAGGACAGAAAGAAAGATATGAAGAAAGATAATCACGTTTATTAACTGAAAATACAATAAAAATCAAGTTTTTTGTATTGTGAACAGTTACTGTGAAGTTCCACAGTGTCAAAATAGTTAAAGTCCTACATTCAAACGTTACTGAAGAAAAAGTAAAACAAATAATTAGTATCAAAATATACTCAATATGCAGAATAATATATATTATTGAGTATTAACTGCTCAGCAGCTGGTAAAGCTGGATCTTATCTTAATGACTTTATATACTGCTGGTAGTTTAATCTGTAATAATACCTCATCATTTGTTAGTTGAATATATTTTGTATCGATGAATTAAAGAAATAAAAAAATGTAATTACTGAAATAATTAAAAGGAAAAGCAGAAATTCACACATTTGAGAAAGTGGCGCCGTGAAATGTTTTTTAATTAAAAAATGACTAAAAAGATGAATTCTCTGTCAATCGACTGGTTGATTCTGTGCGTTGTATAAAAGAATATAGTGTAAAATGGAAATACTCAAGTAAAGTACAAGTACCTCTAAATAATTTAAGTATGTACTTAGTTATATCTTCTGCACGTCATCAGAAGCAGACGTTTACTTTGAGAAACAAAAGAATAAAGACATTCTAACTGAAGAAGAGGATGAGAGAGGACAGAGGGATCGATTTATGAGTGATGCTGCCTGATCGAAGGCAGCCAATCAGCGCTGTCCTCTACCTCCTCCTAGCTGCTGATTGGCCGGCTCGTGGAGGAAGAGAGGATGCCGGGACATCCAAGATGGCCGCGCTCATTTGAAAAACCTGCGGTAGCCAAAAAAAAACACAGTTTGGCACCTGAACCGAGTTGTTATTTTTAATTTTTTTGTATTATTATTATTATTATGTGGACGACTGGTGTCGCCAAGCAAGACTCGATCTAAAGGAGACACAAAGGACTCCGCGACAAGAGCCAGACTATTCCGTACTATCAGGTACAGCTAGCTCAAGCTAACGTTAGCTAGCGTGCTAACAGAGCCAGTGAAAAGCAACGGTTCTCGACGGGAGTTTAGCGTTAGCGTGCTAATGCTAACGCTACAGCTAGCGTGTCACTCTCACAGCTAACTTGTCAACATGCTTATTTATATACTCTCTGCTTCGTATCACCGGAAACAACTTAGTGTTTGTGTAAATAAATAAGCAGATAAAACTGAAAGCTACATGTTGAATCTGATCATTATGATCTGATGATTGTGATGTTTTTAGTTGAAACTCATCTATTTAAATCTGCTTTTAACCTGTAAAGTTAGTTATTCATGTTAAGTTTGTGCTGTTCCTTATTGTTATGATGTCATCTATTTAGTTTGTGTTGTAAACACCAGTAACATAATTTATCATGTTTGTTATGTCAGCTGTGGCTAAATATTCATATCTGACATTAAGTTCTTTAAAGCTTCAGTTTAACTCTCCAGACGATGTAAGCTTCATTTTTTTGTTATGTGTTCATACATTTTCGTCTTTGTGCCTCAAACTTCATTACCGTGTTATAAACAACATTTTATTAACTTCTAATTCTTTAATGGATTTTAATGTTTTTATGACGTAGGAAGTCCTCTTTAGTCTCAGCTCTCCTGAGGATTTATAGCGACGTAACTGTCTTATCTTTCGTCCGGATATCTGGAAATATTTCTCAAAGTTAACACATTTAATCAGTTTCAGCGTGAGTCGTTGTTTAAACTCCCATCATGCTCTGATTTATCTTTGAGCCAACGTCCGTCTCGTATGAGCGGTTGTATTCTTCATGTAACAGCGGAAGAGTCTGGTAGAACATTAATGTTAAAACATCAGATCGGGCTGTGGCCAGTCAGTGAAGAAAGCTTTTCACACTTCTCTGTCTTCCCCCGGTCCTCCCAGAAATAATGCTGATATCTGGAACTCATGTCGGAAGTCGTGTATGAAGAGACAGCCACGATGATCGCAGCAGGGGAATTGCAGCCGTTTGTCCCGTTTGGCCGCGAGCACTGCAGGAACCATCCGAACGCCTTCAACCTGCAGCTCAGAGAGCTCCAGCCCGCCTCTGAGCTCTGGTCGTCAGATGGCGCCGCCGGCCTGGTGGGGTCGCTGCAGGAAGTCAGTCTGCAGGAGAGAGAGAGGGTGCGATTCATGTCATTGATGTATTATATATTATATTATGTTCCGCTCATACCAGCAGTTCTGTTAGTCACGCACAAGGAGGAAAAGAGGAGGACGATAAGAAAAAGGAACTTCAGATGCTGGTTTATTGCTTGAAGCTACTTTTCTTCTGTGACACTGAAGGTCTTTATGTCTCAATGTAGCATCGTAGCTGACATTCACTCACTCACTGGATCTGTTCTGATTGGCAGGAATGCTGGCAGCTCAGGAAAGGCTGTAAGGGGGTCCGTGAGGAGGATGTGGAGTTTGAAGAGGAGCTGTACGCAGCAGGGACCGTGGTGGTCTGGAGTCAGGGCAGTTGGAGCCAAGCCTCCAACGTGTACAAGGCCTTCACCGTGGACAGCCCGGTGCAGCAGGTGGGTTCACTGGAGATCCAAGAGAAACGGGTCCTCTCAGTGGTAGATGTAGATCAGTACAGTGTCGGTTACATTTCATTCATCTTCAAAGGTAAAACACAAGCTTCTCAAACATCTGAATTGAGAGGCTTTTTAGACGGATGCATCCGAGTATTTGATTCAAACCGTCGTTTGTTTGAAGAATCCGAGTCAGAGTGAACTCCATGCTTTTGGTTCCTTTTTATATTTTGTCTTCTGCACAAATTAAAGCCGACTAAATTATAATTAGGTGATAATTTGACTCCCTCTCCTTCACTTCATCTCAGTCACTGTGTTTGTGGACTTTATTCAGTTTGTTCTGTCTTTTCTTCGTCCCAGATGTCGAGCTAACACTGGAGATGTGCAGAAGTCCTAATCCGTCCTCTCCCTCTCACGTTAACATGATGTTTACTGGATCTTTGTTTTGGTTCACTTCCTGAAACTGAGTGGATTTTCGTTATCGCTGCAATCAGACCGCAGCTATCGGGGTTTCTAAACGGTCGACCTCTCGGGTCGGCTGTTGTGGTCCGAGTGTGACGACTGCGTTCACAACTAGCTCGATCAGAACGGACCAAATGTCGCCTCGTGAAAGCGCCGCAAAGCACACATGTCTAAGCTCAGTTTAAGTGGATTCATAATATGTATATGTGATTGTGTCTGCAGGCTTTATGGTGTACCTTTGCTGTTCCTCACGACAAGAAAGACGGTACTGAACATGAAGAAAACCACTCAAGTACTCTACTCGTCTCTGCTGCAGTTCTGTTGAAGTGCAACTTTTAATGTCGTTCTTTGCAGAAGACGTGGAGCAGACGGTCTGCATCGTCCAGAGCAGCTGCATCAACGTCCACACGGTGACCGGCAAGGACTTCATCTCTCCACTCCCGTTCCAGGTGAGAGACGGAGAGACGGAGACCTGTTCTCCCACTAGGAAGAGGAGGAGGAAGGTGATGGTGATGATGATGGTGGTGGTGATGATGGTGAAGATGATGTGGTGGTGGTGATGGTGATGATGATGGTGGTGGTGGTGGTGGTGATGATGATGAAATGATGATGGTGGTGA